TTTCAGAGCTTTATAGCAAGCAGGGTTTCATTTTATTTTATTTTATTTTTTAAAAGATTTATTTATTTATTTATTTATTTATTTATTTATTTATTTATTTATTTATTTATTTATTTATTTATTTATACAAGCACTGGGTACAGTCAGAAGCGCGGGAGGGTGAGAGAATTCACCAGAGCCAGAGCGGGGAGCAGAGCAGGCAGAAGGACCGAAGTACACTGCTGAGGGGAGTAGTGGGCGGCAGGAGAGGTCTGCGTGCCATGCGGGACCCTCCTCCGGTGGCCGGGGAGCAGCCAGGGATCGAACCGGAGCCACAGAGGCCGCGGGCAGCTTCGCAACCCAGCGCTCAACCACTGCGCCAACAGGGAGGCCCAGGGTTTCATTTTATAGGCCAAATCATACAATCTGCCAAATCTGGTTGATCTTACACTCTTTTCAATGGTCTATCATCTCCAATCTTCTGAGCTGGTTGGAAAAACAAACAATTTTAAAGACTCAGTTGGTAAAACTGACCCTTCAGTCTTGCCTCATCAAAGACTTTGCCCTGGGTTTTACTGAACCTAAGATCAGCACCTTTTGGCAAATATAGACTATTGCTTTTGGAGGTAATTACAGGTAGACCCATAAGATTAGATCAAGGCCTAAATAAGTGAACCCTACTAAGAGGTGACAATTTAGCTTACTGCAAGGAGCTCATCTGAGCCTTCAAAGTAAATTTGAATCTGTTAACACAGTCATCCCACAAAGTGTTCCCTGGAGAGGAAGAACCACACACCATGATCTCCAGCCTGGTACTCCTTATGATAGAAAAGACGTCTTTACAAGTACACCCTCCAATCTCACTGGAAGGGACCCTACCAGGTATTGTTAACAAATCTTTGTGCTGCTAAATTGAACAGCATGGACTGATGGAATCATGCGTCTCATAAAAAACAAAACAAAACAAAACCAAACCAAGAAAGCCTCTGTAAATCAAGTGGGACTTTCAGACTTGGGCCCACTGAAACTTAAACGCATCAGAAACAGACTTGCTGATAAGCAAATGTCCCTTCTGGAACATGGAGGCCGAGTACATCTGAGGTGCACGGCTATTCCCAAACTCCAGGACAGGCCTGTATATCTCTCCTCCTTATTGAAATACATCTACCAAATCTTTGGACTTCTGTTTCTAATAAACTAATAGCCATTAGAATGGTTATTATAAAAATGTCAAAAGTTAACACGTTTTGACAAGGATGTGGAGAAAAAAGAGCCTTGTGCGTGGTTGGTAGAAATGTAAATTGGTAGAGTGGTAGAGCCCTTATGAAGACAGCATGGAGGTTTTTCAAAAAATAAAAAAAATAGAATGCCATATCATTCAGTGATCCCACTACTAGATGTATATCCCAAGGAAATGGAATCAGTATCTTGAAGAGATAGCTGCACTCCTATACTTATTGCAGCATTACGCACAATAGCCAAGACGTGAAATAACCTAATATGGATGGACAAAGAAAGTGTGCTATATGTCATATCATATTGTTATATCATTATGTGTTATATCACATGTTATATTATGTGTTACATGTGTAACACGTGTTGCTATTTATTACATGATATGTAGTAATGGCTTAAAATTAGGAAATTCTGCTATTCATGACACCCCCCCAAATGCTCTTATGTTGCATCAGGCAACACCACACTGTCAAAGAAATGGGAATCATGGAACAAACTGTCCTGGCAGTATGCTGCTAAGAAGGCAAAACCTTTTTTATTTAGTGAGTGACTTTACAGAGCCAATTACTCAGGGCAGGAGGACAAAGAGAAAAAAGTTAGGATGAAGGAATGTATGTTTTGGTTATCTAGACTTTTGGGGAGAGGAGTCTGCAAATCTGAATTAAGATTTATAGCCCAATTTTATGGCTCAATGTTTGAAGAGCAAAATCAAGCTTCTGACCCTTACTCCTGGTATCAATCTTGTTAACAAGGCATTTCACTGATGATTCTTGGAACGCAAAGTGGTATATCAGTCAACGGTTCCCCAGGGGCTCCTGCTTACTCTTCGTGATGTATACTCATTGTCCCAGAGGATGAAGCTTCCTGCTCTGGTTTAACTTGAGAGGAACCTTTGCAGGATCAATAGCTAATTGATTGACTGGGTCAAATGGACTTTGCCCTGAGAAGGCTGAACTGCATAGCCAGAATGGTGGCTTAAGCAGCTTTTTAATTCTAGCAGGCCCACACGCTTACAGTGACAGTGGGATGTGGTAACCAGAGAGCAGGGCCAGGGGGCAAAGGACACAGACAAAAGGGAAAGGAAACAATTACCGCCGGTGGCTGGGGTCGAGAGTCAGGGATTCCTGGTTTTGTGGATGTAAAATTCAGTTTTACAATATGAAGGGAGTTCTGGAGATGGACTGTGTTTGATGGATGGTTTGAGTGCCCTTAGCACCACTGCACTGTACGATGATTAAGTTTTATGTTATGTGTTCTTTACCCCAATAAAAATAACAAAAAATAAAGCATTATTGCATTATAGTCCAAGTAAGAAATAAATGCCCATGAGTTCACATTGATATAAGTAATTAAATAACTAAGCAAGCAAATACAGGGGAGAAGTGAATTTCCTGTACAAAAAAATCCTCATACGTTATGTTGTTGCCCTCTTTGATGGGGAGCTGAACACCCCATGTGATGGTTGGCTTGGCTTTGCATAATGACTTCCCCCCTCAGAATACACTATGAAAGGATGGCAGATTGGGGGTGGGATGAGGAAAGTAACTTCACATGGAGAAACCTGATGCACAGCCCCAGGGAGACACTCGGGTAATAAATCATGTTAATAGAATTTACTTTTAACAGAATGTGATGAAAATGACACTTTAACTTTTTGGTCTTCTGCCTAAAAACACTTAACTGATAAAATCTGTGACAAACATCAGACAAACCCAAATTGAGGGATATTCTACAAAATACCTGACCAGGACCTCTTAGTACTGGCAAGGTCACCAAAAACAAGGGAAGTGTGAGAAGTTGTTAGAATCAAGAGGAGTCCTAAGAGACCAGACAGCTGACTGTCATGTGACATCCTAGAGGACATCCTGGAGCAGAAAAAGACTTTAGGTTAAAAACTATGGAAATTGAAATAAACCATGAATTTCAGCTAAAAATAATGTGTCAGTATTGCTTTGTTAATTATATAATAAATCTCCCATTCTAATGTAGCATCAATAGTGAGGGAAGCTGGGTGTGGAATATATGGGAACTGTACTATATTTTCTTAACTTTTTTTTATAAATCAAAAACTGCCTTAAAAATAAAGTTTATTAAAAAAAATTCAAGACTTAAGACTTAAGGCTTCAAAAAAAATTTACAGACTATGTATGAGTGCTTCTGAAAACTTCTTCCTCTGTGCCCAATCTCCCCACCCAGTCCTATCCAGATGTCCTTTTAACACTGTCCTGCTAGGAGGGCTTGAGTCTGTGTCTCATCCACTAAATGATGAGAGCTACTGGAAAGTGGTAGCCCCAGGAAGGCTGTGGTTATGTCAGGATTTTAAATGGGACACCCTGTCTTCTGTGTGATGGGTAGATCTGGGGGCTGTGAAAGACAGGGGAGCAAGAGCAAGGGACTGGCTAAAGCCATTATAATAGGTCAGGTGAGAAATGCCCTCAGTCAGTCCAAACTTGGGAGCAGTTGGAGGGATAATAAGGACTTGACCATTGGTGGGAAGGCCAGAAGAGGAGTGAAGAGTGAGGACCAAGTCTCTAGCTTAGGTGACCACAGGGATGGTGGTATCATCACCCAGGAGTGAATGTCCATGGAACAGACAGTGACACTGTAGTGAGGTGGGGCAAAAGGGATGCAGAGTGCCATTCACAATTACTGAGTGAGGAGCTTCTGGAAGTCTCCAGGGGGCTGTCCCTGACACATACTGTGACCAAGATAAGAGAGCTTTGAGTAGCTTCAGACAACCTGCCTGAGATGATATAGTTAAATAATTAAAGCCAGGTGATTCTTGGGAGGCATCCCCAGGAAGGAGCCCCCAAGTCCTGATGTAATGGGTGGCAGGAAAGACGCCAGAAATGCTCGGTGGCTGCAGAGACCTTGGGTCTATATTTTCCTCCCTTGTCAGCATTGTTGGCTTCCCTGAAGCCAGCTAGCCCTGCCTTTGGGGGCCCTGTCATTTTCTCCACGGGTGACCAGTTTGGAAGTCTCCCTTCTCCCCACCTTGGCCAAATTCTACTTCTCCTGCTCTCCCACAATCTTCCTTGCCTTCCTTGAGAGGCAGTCTGTCAGACTCCTGGAGACCATGAGAGCATCCTGCAGAGAGCAAACTCTGGAAGGAACCAAAGCCCAGATGGACACCCTCCCTTCTTGTGCCCTTGGCTGTGGGCTAGGATTGGGTGCAGTGTGTGTGGTATAGGGTGGTGCTGGGCCTAGGCGCATAGACCTCTTTCCTCCCAATGGGAACACCCCTTTCTCAGAGCCAGCAAGCTGTGCTTCAAGGTGTATGAGGGAAGTGTTTCTGTTTTTGTTTGGTCTCCTCTTTACAAGCTGTTGAATGTGTTGGGTTTGAGAACAGAATCAAAGAGGGACTCTGTGGTCTTTTGGGAACTGGCCAGGATAGTCAGAGGTGGTCATAAACCCATACACAGGTTTGTATATGGTGAGAGAAAAAAGAGAAAAAGCCAAAGAGAACGCAAGGTCCCGGCAACTCGAGCATTTATTCTGTATTCCTGTACGCATGCACAAGCTCAGCTATAGCACAGGGGATGAAGTCAGTTACTGGAGTAAGTATCTCCTCAGGCAGAGGTTCTTGTTCCCGGAGGCTGGATTGGGATCATCAGGGGTGGGTGGTGGGCAATCACTCCCCCTTCCCCGTCAGAAGCAAACAGGGGCAGGGGCAGATGGGTTCACAGATGAGGTGGGCCGCCCAGTCGGGGACCTGAGGTAAGGGAAGTCACTGGCTCTCTCTTCATTTGTGTGGGGTGGCCTGAGGGCCTCTGGAATGGGAACGGTTACTTATGTTTGGGGGGCCACTGCACCTCCTGCTTCTGCTGTTGTTGCTCTACAGAGGGCAAGACCGCTCCCTTCAGTGGCTGGACTAGTAGTGTCTCCTGGACTTGGCCGGGAACTAGGACAAATACAGACTGCTCAGCCTGCCCTTCCTGCTGCTCTGCTCGCTCCAGTTGTATACCCTGCTCCTCCAGCTGCCCCAGCAGCTGCTCTCCTCTGTTTGCTAGCTCTTGATCCAGTTGCTGCTCAAGAAGCTTCTTCTCCTCTTCCAGCTGCTCCTTTAGCTCCTGTTCCTTTTGAGCTTTCTCCTGCTCCAGCTGCTGCTCCAGGCTTTCTGCTTCCTGAATTTTCTCCAGGTGCCCCAGCAGCTGCTCTCCTCTATTTGTGAGCTCTTGATCCAGTTGCTGGTCCAGAAGCTTCTTCTCTTCCAGCTGCTCCTTTAGCTCCTGCTCCCTTTGAGCAGTCTGCTGCTCCAGCTGCTGCTCCAGGCTCTCTGCTTCCTGAGGTTTCTCCAAGAGCTGCTCTCCTCTGTTTGCGAGCTCTTGATCCAGTTGCTGGTCCAGAAGCTTCTTCTCCTTGTCCAGCTGCTCCTTTAGGTCCTGTTCCCTTTGAGGTCTCTTCTGCTCCAGGTGCTGCTCCAGGATCTCTGCTTCCTGATGTTCTGTGTGTTTCTCTTGCTGCTGTCCTTCCTGCTCCTGTAGCTCCTGCTGATGTAGCTGCTGTTCCTGCTCCTGTGGCTCTTGCTGCTGTGTACCCAAATATTGCTCCAGCTGGTGCAGATGCTGTTCCTGCCCCTGTGGCTCCTGGGGCTGGGGCTCACACTTGCACTCGGGCACCCCCTTCACAGGAGTGGCATGTTTCTCCCCATGCTGCAGAGGAAACTCCTTGGGGAACTCTGAGTTCACCTTCTGACATGGGGCAGGCAATGGAGTTGGCTGGTTTACTTGCTCCTGCTGGGTATCAGTGGGAGGGCAAACAGGCTTGAGGGGCTCCTGACTGAGGGCAAGGGGAAGGGTCACTGGCAGAGTCTGCTGCTCGGACATCTTTGAAGCTGCTTTAGGTCAATCTGAAAAACAGGAGGGGTCAGAGGGGATGGCTGAAGAGAGGAAGGATCCCTGGGAATCCACAGCAGTGCCTGGGTTCTCAGCATCCCCTCTCTTCCTTTGGGTGGGGCGCTCTCCACTCCCTGAGGGAGGCCATAGCCCAGAAGCAGCAGAGAATGAAGAGCAGGAGCAGGAGAGGCAGGAAGAGGCCCTCCTGAGACCCTCCTCTCTCAAAAGCACCAGCAAAGAGGTTACTCTCTAACCTCCAGCCCCTCTGCATGGCAGATGCTCCCGCTTTGGGAACCCCGGTCTCTGTCCTTTCTGACCCCCATTGGCCAAGGAGGACTGATGAGTTCTGGGATTCTGACAGCACGTGGGGAGGCCCTAGAAAAAGATATGTCTCCTGGAGGAGTCTTGAGTCCTGGAGAACTGTGGCCCTGGAATGAGTGGACCTGGGGTGAGCCTGGGGGGCAGTCACGCAATGCATTCTTGCTTTAAATCTCCCCCGGAGATACTATGTCTGGCACTTAGACTCTCTGGGCCCCAGATGTCTCCTCTGAGCAAACTGACCTGTTTGCTGCCCAATCCCCTGAGCTTTAGCTACAGTCCTGGGGTTTGGGGTGAGGGGCGTTGGCGGGGCTGCAAAGCTGCTGAAAGTTGAAGCTGGTTCTTTCAAGCTTCATATTTCTAAAGTAGGTTTCCCTGCCCTGCTCTTTCTGGGACTTTTCCAAATAGAAATTTCCCCCCATTCTACAGTTCTCCCTTTCAGCTACATGGCCCACAGTTCCAAGCATTTTCCCAAACCCCCTGTCCCCACAAAGAAGGCAAAAATCTAACAGTTTTGGGAAAGACAGTACTTCCTCTTCTTTCTTCTCTCTCTCTCCCCCAAAATATGGTCCCAAGCACAGATGGGATAAGAGGGGAGTGCCGTCTGTCCTCTGTGTCCAGGTGAGACCCTGGTCACAGTGACCTGGGTCCCCCGAGAAGGACAGATAGGCGTCCAGTTGAGCCCAGGCTGCGAGTGATGCCTTCCAGCACCTGAGCTGGCCCCACCACCACATTCTGGCCTGATGGCGCCTGCCCCAACCCTGCTTCCCCAGCTGACTCTTGCTTACCAAACTGTCAGGAGGGACGGCTGGAGAGGCGTCTAGTGGATTGCTGAGCTGGGCAGGGTCTGGGACACCCTTTATACTGTTCCCCAGTGTTGCCTCCTGCCCAACTTGAAGGAGATGGACTGGTTTCACCACTCCAGTTGGTCAACTTCATGCAACCCCATCCTGATTCATCACAGACACCTTGAGCAGAAAACCCCTCAGGGCCCCTTTTCATAGAGATACACAGCTCCCGCCTGGCCACAGGGCTCTGGCGCCGGGTCATCCTGTGACGTTCATCTGACCTGGCACGGGGAGGTGAGGGGGACAGCTCAGGAATTTGGTCCCCTTTTCCTATGGCTTTGTGACCTCAGCCAGGCTTCTCTGCATCCCAACTTCACCTGTAAAATGAGACTATTCTTATGATTGGGCTGACAGATTCCTTTCCAAGGTCAAAGGATGGAAAGTTGTGTGTCTCTGGGATGTCACTTCTTATGAAGGGATGGGCTTGCTGAGGGTCCTCATGGCCACTCGCCCACCAATTCTCAGGACTCACCTATAACTCCACACTGTGTGGAAATAAACACTCTCCTCAAGGGGAGGGGCTTCGACTTCTGGCCAGAAGGATCAGATAGAAAGCTTCTAGGGGTCTCCTGCTGTGTGCCAGGGGCTGCCCAGACCCCCTGTCCAGAGCTGTAGTTAAAGAAGTCCCCAAGAATGCCATGTTTCAAAGTATAGGCCACTAAGGCAAGGAAGAAGGCATTCAGTATATAATATAATCTATGTGCATACATTGTTGTTGATATTAAGATGGTTTCTATCTTTTTTTTTTTTTTTTTTGAAATGGGGGAAGGTGCAAAGTCAAAAACAAAGTATTCATTGCCTTCTCCAAGGCTTTCTTTCAGATTAGGGACTGGCACCTGCCCCTCCCCCTTGCCAATGGCCCCTGGAATAAAACCCAAACTCACTGCTGTGGTTTTAAAGATCCTGACTCAGGACCCTTAGTTCCTAGGACAAATCCAGGGCTCCCCACCTACAGGCCTGGGGCCTGTTCCCTCTCCCCCAGGCACCCGCTCTCCTTCCTCCTCCAGGCTCTTCCCCAGGTCTGGCTGGTGGGTGACTCAGCCTGTCAGCTCCATTTCGAGGACATTGGGGTCTTCCAGAGAGCTCTGGCTCCCCCACTGAGAGGGTATCCTAAGTTTTTTTTTTTTTTAAAGATTTATTTATTTATTTATTTATACAAGCACTGGGTACAGTCAAAAGCATGGGAGGGTGAGAGAATTCACCAGAGCCAGAGCGGGGAACAGAACAGGCAGACTGATGAAATACACTGCTGAGGGGAGCAGCGGGCATGGCAGGAGAGGTCTGTCACGTCATGTGAGGGTATCCTATGTTTTGCTTCATCTCACTAATAACAATCAAGATCCCCCCTTTTTTCATTTGTTCACTTGTCTATTTCCTATCTCTCCTGCTGGAAAACAAGCCCTAGAAGGCCGGGGTTTGCCTGTTGTGTTTTCCACCATGACCCCAGAAACTCCCACAAATACCTTCATGTATTAGTTGAAGGAATTAGCTGAAGGAGTGAATGAACAGCGAGTCTCATCACTGCTGTTCAACATTGTTATATTCCCCGTATGTCTGTGTGTGCACCTTTATTCATATAAACAAATAAAAATGTGACTTGCCTTTCTTTGTAAGAATTGGTTAATAACAGTTATCTCTTGAACATCATTTATTTAAACTTTCTTCTTTATCATCTAATCAGAAGAGAACTATTAGAACAATATGAAGAGAAATGAAACTTTCAGTGGTTTATTTTGAGAAGTGTCCCTATTCCCCATGGTTTTCCCAACAGGCACCTCCCTCTCAGGGAACTGCTGACTCCCCCACTATTTGCAGTGCTAATTTTGCCCTGTTCTTAGGACCAGGTCTGGAAAGACAGATGGAGGGATTTCTACCTCTAGAATCCTACCCTCTTCCAGTGTGAGACTTAGCTTGGGGACTGTACCATTTTCTGGGGGCAGAGAAAGCCCTCTCCACTCACCCCCTCTCCCCCTGCCCCTGACCCTAGAACTAACAAGCATCTTCACAGGGGTGCCCATGGCCTTGACCTCTGCTGCTGACCTCACATGGCAGGAATCTGCCCCTCCCCAGCCCATGACAGTCAGTCCCAGGGCAGCAGACCCTGCTGGAAGAAGTCACACCGGTCTTATGGGTTTTCAGGGACCTGTATCTGTCAGATCTGCCTCGCACCCTCTGATTCACAGGATAATGAGAGCTTTGCTGGAAAGACAGTGTGTGTGAGTCTCTAGCCACTGGGCAAAGTTAGGGTGTGGGGAGGAGGGTGGAGTGTGGAGCTGAGAGAAGCGTGTGTGCAAGGGAAAGGCAGGAGGAGCCCCAGTCTTTAGAGGCTCCAATGCCTCATGCTTTGCTATCAGATTGTCCCATTTGGGGAACAGATCTGCATGTATATGAGAAGACTCCCTCAGTGGCTCTGTGACGGACTTCACAGGCTGTGGGGTCCTCGTGAAGCCTGGGTAACTGTCCAGTCCCTGCCCGGTGTGATGAGGATGAGCTCATATCCCATGATGCATCCCGAGGTCTTGACCCTACTCTTCTCCAGCCCAGGGAGGCCATGGCTATTTCTCATGCAGAGGCAGAAACTGGCTGGTTTCTCTTTCCAAGTGAAGCAATCTATTTGAATTGTTGCTTGGCTTGGGGAGGGTGTGCGGCAGGGGATGTTGGTCTCAACATTTCACTGCCTTGGGGGAATGGGTGCTGAGGATGGTTCTTAGTAAGTTGCAGTGGGAGGCGATGGCAGGTGGTCCTGGATAAGCACTTGGGCCAGGAGTTCTTGCTTTCCCATGCTGGGTAGCTGTGTCCGGCTGATTCCTGATGAGGGAGTGCCTCTACACTCAGTCTGCTACCTCCTCTACATCCTTGTAGGCTACCTGCTCTGTCTAGGCACCGCAGTCTATAACATCCCTCACTCTGAGACTGCACTTGCTGCCTCCCCACACACCCCAAGTCTTTACTGTCTTCCTCCGTGGCATCCTGTACTCGACCTCTGCTCCTCATTAGGCTTTTGTCCTTGGTGTCGTGTCTGCTATATCTCTTGCAGAGGCAGAACCTGGCTGATTTTCTTTCTTTCTTTAAAGATTTATTTATTTATCTATACAAGCACTGGGTACAGTCAGAGGTGCAGGAGGGTGAGAGAATTCACCAGAGCCAGAGCTGGGAGCAGAGCAGGCAGACTGATGAAGTACACTGCTGAGGGGAGCAGCGGGAGGCAGGAGAGGTCTGCGCACCATGCGGAACCCTCGCCTGGCGGCCAGGGATTTCTGCAGAGGCTGCAGGCAGCTTCGCAACCCAGCGCTCAACCGCTGCGCCACCGGGGAGGCCCTAAATTCTCCTGAGTGAAGCAATCTATTTGAATTGTTCAAATGCAGGGGGAGTGGGGCGTATGGCAGGGGATGTTGGTCACTGACCTGGGGAACGCGGTGAGACCCCATGTGGACAGGTGGTGTCCTGCACCGTGGGCTCCCTGATGAATCCAGGTGGCTTTGCATCTCTACAGCATGAGGGTATGTGTGCTGACACCTGGGCACCCATGTGGGCAGATGAGATACAATAGTTTGGGTTTAACTTTGATGGTAATAGAATGGGCAGTGCCCAGAAAACCACAGGGAGGTGGAGATGGCAGAAGGGCTCTGCCAGTGCACGGCGTGGGGGTGGTGACGGTGGAACATGTGGTGAGACTGCACAGGAGAGGTGGCAGTGGTGGGACGGGCACAGTTTGGTAGAGGGCAGCCAGCAAGAGAGGCAGGGCCCCGGTCCATGCTGTGGGTCTAGGAAGGGACATTGAAGAGGAAATAGAGGTGGCAGGTGCAGAACAAAGTGGGGAGGAAC